AATTGAAGTTCAATATTAAAAGTTGTCAAACTTACATCTTATGAAATTAAATCGAGGTTGTGTTTTGACTTGATTTATTGCATATATCAATTAACACATAATTTCGTAGCACTAATGGCCGTTTTGAAGTCCTAACCTGCCGCTAGGGTGCGTTACGAGAGATAATACACCTGATCAGATTCCCGACCTTATAATTTTAGGTAGGTTGCGAAACAGGACATTTACAAAATGTCATTTAGGAAGGTAATATGGGCAAGGGGAACACATAAAAAGTTAGCAAGTTACTAACACCGGTTTGTTTGGGTGCAAAACGGGCGAAAATCTAATGGCAAAACATTGAAAAGGATTCGAAGTATGTCATTAGTTTACATATATGTACGTAAGAAAACGTATATTTTACAAACAATGCTAAGCATAGTCAAAAACTTATTGAACCATCAAAATACGATATAAACTTTTAAACAAAATGGAAAAACCGAAACACGGCCGATGCGTATCAGTTTCAAAATCAGAAAAAAATACTTCCTTATTGGCTATAGTTCGTGTTGTATTTTAGCAGTACAAGCCATCATACAAACTGGGGAAAAACTGAACAATTCTTAAAATAAATTAACATGTAAGAGTAAGAAACATTTATTAAAATACATTGTAAAATATCAGTTACAACTTAAATATCTTAAATATGAAACTTTTTATGGAGATAATTGAACGAGCCATCTATTAAGAAATGCCTGATTGTCATTTTCGAAAAAAAACAGTCAATTTTCTTTGCATATTTGTATATTTTTTATTTAGAAGTGTTAACATATCTTATTATTGAATTCGCCATGTATATGAATATAAGTATCCAAAAGTACTAAGAAGCTACATGTACATCAATTAAAAAAATATAAATTTCTGAAGCACGAATAATCATTAGCCTGTTGATATACATGTACTATACCCACAATCACATGTACTAGTATTATATATGATAAAGTTGATCTGCTACACAAATGCATTAAAGATATATAGATTTGTTATAAAACAGTAATCTAGAATAAATTAAAGTAGGATGATGATTATAAGTTTTAATTTTACTATAAAAATGAAAAGGGTATCTCTTTTTCATCAAATAAAAACTTATGTCCATAAGGAATAAACTGTTATTGCTCTAAATTGGCTATCAGGCATTTCTTTTTAGTACACTAATTCAATCATCTCCGTGAAAAAGCTTCATATTTCAGTTGCAACTGATATTTTACAACGCATTTTAATATAATTTACTTACTCTAAAATATTGTATATTGTAAAAATTGTTTATAGATATAGGAAGATGTGGTATGAGTGACAATGAGACAACTCTCCATCCAAGTTACAATTTATAAAAGTAAACCATTATAGGTCAAGGTACGGCCTTCAACACGGAGCATTGGCTCACACCGAACAGCAAGCTATAAAGGGCCCCAAAAAAATTACTCGTGTAAAACCATTCAAACGGAAAAACCAACGGTCTAATCTATATAAAAACGAGAAACGAGAAACACGTATGAACTACATAAACAGACGACAACTACTGTAATCAGATTCCTGACTTAGGACAGGTGCAAACATTTGCAGCGGGATTAAACGTTTTAATGGTACCAAACCTTCTCCCTTTTCTGAAACAATAGTATAACATCACAAAATAGAAAAACACACTATAAAATATCATTGGAAGACTTAACTCATTCAAAAAACGTAAATTAACACACAATGAACGAATAAATTTGACCTGTGACACCTGAATGCAAATACACAGTTAATATAAAATTACAAGGGTTAAATAATTAAAGTCAAAAGTAAATAAACAGATTTAAACAAAGTTAAAGTATGATATCACTGTGAAATTTCAAACAATTTTTCGAAAATCATCACTTTTGAAGAAACGCTCTGAAGAAACCTGCGTCATATTATACACAGGTAAATGAAAATAATTTTGTTGTTAAGTATACTTCTTCTTCTGTGTGTATAAAATCTTCCGTTTAGGAATACCAAGAAATTTCTTTAATATCAATAAAACTAATCTAACACTTGGTACATATGGGTGAACACTTGGTACATATTTAGTTTATTTTCCAATTTTGACGATGACTATTATTTCAGTGCTCAAATACAGCTCCAAATGTGAACTATATAGTTTTAAAGGGAAGGATTTTTCCGTTTTGAAATAAATACTCATAGTCGGGTCCGCTTAATATGCAATTGAATAATTCATACAGGTTTATGCTGTGTTAAGCAATTTTTGCACATTATCATTTTTCCTTGCATACCTATGTAACCTAATGACACACTACAACTATTCGCTTAAATGTTATCTAATGATTCTGAATTTTAATATCTAAAGGACATATACCAAGTTCTCGATATATCATGAAATCTGGTGTCATGTACATGTATGTACGATCTTCTGTTAACACCAGGATAAGGTTTGTTTGAAATTGCTTAGTAAGTTTATTTTAAAAAAAAGTATTAATCTTTTGATGCATATATTAATCGATTTTTTTATTCTTTTCCTGAACTTCTCTGATCTAGCTGCATATAAATAGTAATATTTGACATGCTTCAGCAAGTTGTGCAGACAGTAGAAAAATAAAGTTAGGTTGGTACGCGAGGAATTTGCAAACGTTGATATTATATTTAAACCCAAGTCCCATAGCCTGCTTTTCTCGTCGTTTGGTCTATGAACCAAAATCATATTTAGGTCAGGAATCTGAGGAAGTTTATAATCTCCTGTTATTTCCCCCTAGCGGTAGTTGACATTTCTTTTATAAATATACCTTTTATGTATCGGTTAGTCTATGAAAAAGTATATACTACGAAATTTAGAGCGAGGGGCTTGCCTCGAGCACTTAATTTCATAGTATATTATACCTTTCCATAGACTATCCAATTTAGCACATATTTACAACTCAAGTAATCTTTTAATTGGTCTATTGATAGTTTATTTTGGCTGACTACTTGTATCACAGGTGTTTGTAAAACGGAGTTCATTAACTTAAGTTTTATGTTTTGTAAATTTACTCACTAGTATCATAGGTATCAAAAATGAAAAGATGGTAGCTACTGGAGTAAGTATGTATATCTATATATTGCGGTGTATTTCTACATATACTTATTTACATGCTAAGATGAAATAATAAATTGACCATAACATGCATATATAATTAAATTGCAGTCGGAGCTTTACATGTTTTGAAAAAAAAATCAATTTCATAGCAAAACTAAAGCTATAATAAATTTGTAAAATATAGATAAATGTGCCATAGAAAGTTTTGTGATAAGGCATTAAAAAGGAACAACACGTACCAATCGATCAATTTGAAAGATTATAGGGTTTTATTCATTTCAAAGTAACAACTAAAATCTTTATCCGAATATGGATATAGGTGGCACATTCCCTTCAGACATTATCATGGTTTTTCAATTTATGATGAAATGGATCAAGTTCCTTTTAAGAAAGTTTAAAAAATCATCATCCAGTTGCCTTAATTTCCCTACACAAGGTTTCATAGTACATACTTTTTTGTGTAAAAAGTAATTGCATGGATGATAAATTACCACAATTATATGACAGAGTTGTACTATAATCAAGGTATTAATGACCATATTAGTTATTCTTTATTTAAATGATAGAAACTTGCAATTGTCAAAAGTATGTTTTAAAACCAAAGATTTTAATAGTAGGATATATAAGAATCAATGTAAAAACTTTTTTTTTTAATTTTGGACATAGCATTTTATTCCAAAATAGACAGTGGCAAATTTTTTTCTTTATATCTTGATTACGATACAATGAAATCTTACCCTTGTGGTCATTCATGTATAGTTACTTAGTACACGGAAAAAGTATGTACCATGAAACTAAAATAAGAGGTGGTATATGTGTCTTTTAGCACATACTTACAACTTCTCGTCCAATCAAATTGGCAAATATAAGCAATTTGATTGGACGAGAAGTTGTAAGTATGTGCTAAAAGACACGTATACCACCTCTAATTATCATCCTATTGTATTTCAATTTGATTGCTGCTCAATATCAAATCAATGTCTTTATAACATATGTTTAGTAGATCCCCATAATTAGTCGATTAGTTATTTCAGACATTAAAGTTTTCATATGGCCCGACGTCACGTGACTTATTTGTTATATTATACACTATACTGATTTGTTCGTGTTTTCTAACAAAAACAGCAAGTTTTATTCTTATAGCTTATATACGAAATATGTTTTAAACCATATTTAGTCATCAATGTTTTCATTTGAACAACACAAAGACACCTTAAAATACTTATATGATCTTGTCTAGATTACACAGGAGTAGAATATTATTTTATAATATCGATATGTTATTTCATCTGGGCCATATTTCTGAAACAAAATGTCAAATTCTTTTTCAAAACTTTCTCTGTTGATGTTCATGACGTCAAGATACCTAAAATACAACATTTGTTATGAATGGCGTTTAACTTACACATGTGATATTTCATCCAAATACTAGTAATGCCATAAGAGATCATAAGACAATATAAAAAAAGATGTGGTATGATTTCCGATAAGACAACTCTCCGACAGAGACCAAATGATGTAAAAGGTTAGCAACTATAGGTCACCGCACGGCCTTCATCAATGGGCAAAACCCATACTGCATAGCAAGCTGTAAAAGTCCCCGAAATGACAAATGTCCACTTAGTGCTGCCTTTTCGAATTTTTGTATTGATTTTTCACATCTGAAAAAAAAAAACGCAAAAAAAAAACGGAGAAAGATAAAAACAAATGAATTACGCCAAACATCTGGTTACGATAATTACAACAAAGTACATTGTTGCATTAGTTTTCTCTCGTATGATTCAAAATTGTTGGTGTATTGTCCATTGTTAATGTTAAATATAAAGTGTTTAAAACATGTGTAGTGGCTCAGGTTACGAGGAAGGTTGAGCGCTCACATTGTGTTTAACCCAGTCACATTCTGTATGTACCTGTCCCTAAGTCAGAAGCCTGTTATTCAGTAGTTGTCGTTGGTTGCTGTCTGCCATAATTGTTTTTTTCTTTTATTGGTTTAGCAGCAATTTCACATAAAATAACAGGGCTTTCCAAATTATACGTATGAAAATAACAGGATTTCAGAAAAATAATACATACAAAATAACAGGAGTTTTCAAATAATACATAAAAAATAACAGGTGTTCCCATATAATACATAAAAAATAACAGTAGTTCCCAAATAATACATAAAAAGAATAACAGGAGTTCTAAAATAACGAGTTTCAAAATAATACACACAAAAAATAACAGGAGTTCCCAAATAATACATAAAAAATAACAGGAGTTCTCAAATAATACGTATAAAAATAATAGGAGTTTCCAAATAATGCATAAAAAATAACTGGAGTTTCCAAATAATACATAAAAAAAATAACAGGAGTTCCCAAATAATACGTATAAAAATAAAAGGAGTTCCCAAACAGGCGTTACCAAAATTATTTGACGGTGCAATAAACTGAACCAACCAGCTCTCCAATGAAAGATATCTTACAAGCAGAATTTACAATAAAACAATGAACTGAAAATTGCTAAGCAGATGACAGCCAGCGATGGCATATACTGGTGAGATGTTAAACTACTAGTGGATGAAAATCAAATAAAATGCAACGATAAAGACAATCGTTAGCAGGCAAATGTAAAAAAAAATAGGCTTGTTTAATAATTACTTTTTTTTTAAATACGTATAAGACCTTTGGAGAGAGAGAGAGAGAGAGAGAGAGAGAGAGAGAGAGAGAGAGAGAGAGAAATAAAAGAAAAAAGCAAAAATACCGAACTCCAAGGCAGATTCCAAAAGAGGAAGTCCATCATAAAATCTGACAAATTCAAACGCTATCAATCAATAGAAAGGCTTCTTTCCAAAATGTGTCAAAATAAACAGAAATCATGAATTAATTTAATATCTTATAAAGGATGTGGTTCTGTCAAACTCCATGTTCATCAGGAGGTATAATAAATGTTTTAGACTGATACAACTGTTGTTTAATTATAGAAACGTGTCCTATGTTACCTTTGACCAGTATTTTTGTCCAAATGAAATATATCGTTTCAACAAGACAAATATTTTGGTCAACACGATTGTCTTCTGTATGACATAAAACACATTGTCAACAAAATTATTTTGCAACGACATTTATCGTTACCTAAAATTTGTCATAGTAAATTAGTGACGTCTTGTTCATGGACATGACATTTCTTTTGCATTGTCGTCCATTGATGGGGACTAAATTTTGAATCACCGCCGGTTTCGTCACGTATGACATGTAAATGCTATCCATCATTGTCAAAATATTATGTTTTTATATGAAGTCTGTTTCATAACAACAAAAGGATCAGTAACAATATGGTTGCGTTAAAAGTGCTCTGGATTTCTCTTTTTCTATCTTACTATGGCACATACGGAATAATGGATAAAATTGGTGATATGCTTATAGACCCATATCATGAAGTTTTGGACGAATTAAAAATCCCAACGAAAAGTGTTTCAATGTATGACTTAGATGACATATTAGAGACATTTTTTGGAAAACTTAAGTGTTTACCTCCAGGAGTGCACCACCAACGAACGTGCAGAACTGCTGTGGTAAGTTTTTATCTTTAAATTGGAAATTCCTTCTGTTACTTTTAATATCATTCAGAAATCAGGATCATTACTAATTGAGTAGTTAAAATCAAAAGTCCTTCTTCATTTTACAAACAATTGTCAGAACTACAATAGCTTATTTTATATATGTTTTTTTGAAGTCTCTAACGGATGCCGTTTTTTTATTTTATTTCATACATATCCATCTGAAGACACTAATGATAGCCGTCTTTTTATTTCATAAATGTCTATGCTAAGACACTAACGGTAGTCGTCTTTTTATTTCACACATGTGTATCTGAAGACACTTAGGAAAAATGTTTAGTAGAAGATATCAAGAAAACGGGGAAAGTCATTTTTAACAGATTACTGCAAATGTAGCATAGACAAAACTGTCGACAAGATAATGCTTTATTTCCTTATATCTGTATACTGGAAAATCGTTTTCTGGATCTACACTTTCCATACAGTGAGCTATCCCTGATGGTTTAACTTTTACATAACATACCTAATAATGACATGTACATGTATCAATATGAGAATATGAGATAAAGATAGATCATTTAATGTCATATCAAGTTGTTACTGTTTGATATTGGACATAAACCAGAGTCCTCCGGGCTAATCATAAAATATAATAAATCAGTTTGTCGAATAAATTGATTTATTTCAGCTGCACAGTTTTGGTTATAGATGAAATGAGATGTTACGTATACGTTAATGAGACAGGAACAAAACGATACAATACGGTTTTCCATTATAGGAAGTACACCACTAATTCATGGCCCCATTGCTTTCTATGTTAAATTCCTCAATTTCAAGCAGGCACAGCTCTTTTGTTTTAAGTTCAAATAAAGTGACAATCATTCCATGTCAAACAACACTTTATGGTGTCTTGTACTGAAAAAATCAGCATACCTTTAATGGCATATAAGAAAGAACTGGTTCCCGGAACTTCGGATGTACCAAAATAGGTACTTCAGATCTGACAAACAGGCAAAATGTACCCTCTTTTTAAAATTTCATGCATTTTGTTTTTTTTATTATTCAAAATTATAAGTAAAAAAGTGTTCTACAATGATCACCAGTCATTCAGCTTTCATTTGATACCAAAATTACCTAAATATACTACATATTTTGGAAGTTAAACCCATGCGTAGGAACTATTTTGTGTTAAATATGTACTATTTTCTGGTATGTGCTTTCTGGCCGGGCCCGAATTAGTGGTGTTACACCTATAGTTAATTTATATCAGTTTTTTGGCACTCACTTTGCCCGTATTTAAAAATCTATTATTGCAATAAAATGTGCATAATAGAAAATAAAAGAAAATATCAAGAAAAAGTACTTTACTCTTATATACCTGTATATTTGGCAACAAAAATTAAGGTTACCGTATAATGAAACAATACCGTAACAGAGAATGCTCGCAGTTCCTGTGAGCAAGCTAAGCGTACTTCACCTGCTAATTTAGAAATTATGCCGCCCTTCAATCTTACATTGTCGGCTGAACTTCGTAGTACATTTAATACACCAATAACATAACAAGTGTAGACGAGTTCGTGTGCACTGTCTGGATGGATGGTTATGTATAGAGTGATTATGGCAATAGAGAGTATTTTTTCCACAACAATATTTTGAAATTGATTATTTTATTCGTTCTTCGCTGTTTATCCAATAGAGTGTAATTCTCAGATATAGACATTGATACAATACATGTTTCTCTTCTATATTATTATCATATTCATTCCAACGTATTCTGTCAAATGTAGAGCAAAATATGCAATATTGTCGTTAACAAAATTATGCAGTGCTGAAATATGTTTTGATTCATTTAAAAAAGTGAAATATGTTGATAATTTTAGGGAAAATATTATATAGACTTTAAAATTTCGAGTAAGACTGGGTTTGAATAACGTTCTAGTGAAACAAAAAATGGGGAAATTGGTCCTTCCTCTTTCATTATTTGGTCCAATTCCGTTGTAAACGACTGAAATGCTTGTAATAATACAAAGGAAAATATAGAGCTTGCATCATCGTGACATGATTCATAAAAATATACAGATCATAAAGTGGGTGTGTCTCGCATACGCAATATGTCTATGATGTTAATCGGAATCTTTTAATAATTAGAAAATAGTATTGAAAGGGTTAAAAAAAACAAATTTTATATACATAAAAGAGAAATAATAGTGATTTGCAAGCTTAAGGAGAAATAAAAATGTGCGTTTTTGTCGAGCCTGCGACTTTTGTCGCAGAAAGCTCGACATAGGGATAGCGATCCGGCGGCGGCGGCGGCGGCGGCTACGGCGGCGGCGGCGGCGTTAGCTAACTTCTTAAAAGCTTTATATTTTAGAAGATGGAAGACCTGGATGCTTCATACTTTGTATATGGATGCCTCATGTTACGAAGTTTCCGTCAGTCACATGTCCAATATCCTTGACCTCATTTTCATGGTTCAGTGACTACTTGAAAAAAAAGTTCAGATTTTTTGTAATGTTAAATTCTCTCTTATTATAAGTAATAGGATAACTATATTTGGTATGTGCGTACCTTGCAAGGTCCTCATGCCCGTCAGACAGTTTTCACTTGACCTCGACCTCATTTCATGGATCAGTGAACAAGGTTAAGTTTTCGTGGTCAAGTCCATATCTCAGATACTATAAGCAATAGGTCTAGTATATTCGGTGTATGGAAGGACTGTAAGGTGTACATGTCCAACTGGCAGGTGTCATCTGACCTTGACCTCATTTTCATGGTTCAGTGGTTATAGTTAAGTTTTTGTGTTTTGGTCTGTTTTTCTTATACTGTATGCAATAGGTCTACTATATTTGGTGTATGGAATGATTGTAAGGTGTACATGTCTAGCTGGCAGGTGTCATCTGACCTTGACCTCATTTTCATGGTTCAGTGGTCAAAGTTAAGTTTTTGAGTTTTGGTCTTTTTTTCTAATACTGCATGCAATAGGTCAGCTATATTTGGTGTATGGAATGATTGTAAGGTGTACATGTCTAGTTGGCAGGTGTCATCTTACCTTGACCTCATTTTCATGGTTCAGTGGTCAAAGTTAAGTTTTTGAGTTTTGGTCTTTTTTTCTAATACTATATGCAATAGTTCAACTATATTTGGTGTATGGAAATATTTTATGATCTATATGTCAGTCACGCAGGTTTTATTTGACCTTGACCTCATTTTCAAGGTTCATTGCTCAGTGTTAAGTTTTTGTGTTTTCGTCTGTTTTTCTTAAACTATAAGCAATAGGTCAACTATATTTGTTGTATGGAAGAATTGTTAGCTGTACATGCCTGCCTAGCATGGTTCATCTGACCTTGACCTCATTTTCATGGTTCATTGGTCAATGTTTAGTTTACTTGGTTAATGTTAAGTTTATGTGACAGTTGTAATAAAGCTTTATATTTAGGACTATCAACATAATATCAATGATTAGTAAAGAAGGCGAGACATTTCAGCGTGTGCACTCTTGTTTGAATTTTATTTAAATTGAGGATAATAGCTGAAATCCATGCTTTACTTCTTGTTTAGTGGAGCAAAGCAAACCCATCGTGCTTGCGTTTATCTGTTTTACTGCATTCAGTCACTGTCTATAATAATCTATACTTGACTAAAGAAGTTCTTTACACCTGGCCTAAAAAGTCATTAGACGAAATAAGGTTATCACTTCCTTGAATGAGACGTTATGTACATAAGGTTAGCATTTCCCTAAATTAGAAGTTTGATTAAAAGTTGAATAAACTGTTAACACTTCTATCGTCCCAGTCACATTGTCGTGGGAAGCAATGTTAAAGAAACCGTAGCGCTCGGGATGAAACATCAACCGTTGGAAATAAACAGTGGCAACTGGGGTGAAACATCAACCTCTGGAAAGTAACCGACTAGTTTTTAGAAAGCTATTCATATTATGCTATATAGCTCCTTTCTGCTATTTTACTGACTTGTGGCAATGGTTATTGGATTTTGTTGTAGATGATTTGAATACCTCTGCCTAAAACGGCATAATGACCATATTGTGGCAAAAAAACGGAAATCAATGACAAAATTTAACCTTTTATTCAATTGCAATTTCTTTATATTAAAATTTCATTTTTTTAATGGTTTTCGGCCTGAAAAGCTTGTACAGGTTTTTTATATTTGAAATACAAGTTATTTTTACAGCACACACAATTAATAATTTTGACTACTCATTGATTTGCATGGAGCTTAACATTATGTTTTGTTAGTACAACATATCAAATAGGTTGTCAAAAAGATCATAAAATGCCAAATAAAGCTGTTGAATTGACGAACATACATGATTTTAACTTCCTTAGGCTATTCTATAAAATAATCGTTGTATTATTTGTTCCAATGGGTTTTATTAATTATTCAACGATTTGGAATATTGCGATACAACAAGCACTATTTCTTCATAAACTTGCATTTTATTCTTAGAAGTCCTTTTAATTAACGTAATATAAAACAAATCTTAAAACAACAGTGTATTGACCGACCATTCATTTTTCTAGACAAACCACATACAGGAACAAGAATTTCACATATGTTGTTATTTTGTTTCTTCACACATCTTAATTGAAACACAAGCTAATTTTTTTATTCCAATACCCCCCCCCCCCCCCCCCCCCCCCCCCCCCCCACCCCAAAAAAAAAAACAACCCCAAAGTAAATAAATGTATACCTAAAATTTGTAAAGAATTTTTATGGACTTGTAAAAGCATTCAAACTAAAAAAATATCTTTTACATTAAATGTGACGAAGCCAAGGAAACCTGACGACATTACGTACCGATGACCAGCAGGTTGTTTAACTGAAATCTTTATGTTTTTAATGTATAAAGGTCAATGACCAATTTAGAAATTAAATGAAAATAACTTATGTATGCATCATTAACAAGCAATTATAGTGAATTTACTGTCTCGTTGACGTACAACCCTACATCTCCTTTTATTCATATCTGAAGGTTTTATGGGTCTGGTCTTCAGCTTAAAACTTGTACTGGACAGTGTTCAGTAAAGCATAGGCCATTCATCTTGGGTGTGTGGTGGGGTCGGGGTCATGTTTTTTTTTTCAAACTGTTTGAATCTAGATTTCTTGGAATAAATTGTTTCTGAAGGGAATAAAATAAAATACCTTGTTTCCATGGAGAGTAAGAAAATAATGTGAAAACAACATCGGGATTCCCAAAAACACTTCTTGTTTCTGTTTGGTATTGGAACAAAAAAAGTTTTTTTTTTGTTTTTTTTTATTAAAATCGAATAAAAATGTTTGTCCCGAGAAAATGGATGGTCGAAGCGAAGAAAAAAATCCCATCATCCAATTTGACTGTCCGCAAAACTCTATTAATTGAAGAACTTTTGTTTTATTGCAATCTTAAATCCACACCCTATTACCGGCTATCGGTACGTCAGATACAACTGGATCTGCTTTCCCAATTGCTACATAAAAACAATTATTTTGGCAAACATGTACATCAGATTTTTGTCTGCGTTTCAGATTGCCATGGCAATTCAATGGATTAGAAATCATGTACAGTCGATTTTGAACAAATCCGAATAATTCAATTGTTGTGTATTCTGCTGCTCTTCGATGGCTACATTAGCAAATTGGAGAGATCGATTACGGGGAGGGAGTGAATAGGTTGTGAAATTTCTAGTATACTAAAATATTGCTATGAAAGTATTTTTTGCTAAATAACACATCGGCAGTGTTGCAAATACGATGAATGACCAATATAATTTTTTTGTCAAAATAAAATTTGATTTTTTATGTTTTTGAGCATTGTCATTAGAACTGCCTGCTGAGCAAATTGTTTCTTGTATAAAATAGAATTTATTTTAAATTACATTTGAACTTTTTAGATTCAAATGTGATACAATAAACATGTGCTTTGTATTAAGTGCTGTACATTTATTTGTTGTATGAATATAACCCCTTCAAATAAACAATTGATCTTTTTTAAATAAAAAAAATGGATATTAACAAAAATGATATTTTTTATTTGTAAATTAAGTTTGTTTTGCTTCGAAATCCAGGTGCACCGAAAAAATGAATTCCCACTGACTGTATTTACTGTTAATGATGTGAACCTTCCCAAACCTATATTATTTCGTCAAGGTGTGCCTATCAAACAAGTTTTTAATTGTACATAAACGGAATATCCGTGATTTAAAAATAATAAAAGATTCTATCAGATCAAAACAAAAATATTTTGTTTTCCCAATTTGTATAATGTACTTGCTTAGCTTAAATAGGCGTAACTTCACAAAAAATATTACATGTATATACATATATATGATTTATACATAGTATCATGTGTCTGTCTGAAATCATAAACTTTGTAAATAATTTTCTTAAAGCTTTTTATGTCTTTGTCCTTCAGGAAGAGGTAGGACCGATTATCCCTATATATGTTTCTCTCATCACAGGAATCAATTCTAAAAGTTGTCAAAACCTATTAGAATTTGAATATTAAAGTCACTATATCCTTTACTTAAAATATTTTATAAACACATTTCATATATCTTCAAATAAATCACAGTGATACCCAACGCTACTTGTTGCTGTTACTCGTTTTTGTCAAATTTGGCATCGAAAGAAGTTCCAACCAAAATAAAATGGCCCTGGTTTGAAATAAATTCATTGGAAATTGGTCCTTACTTGTCTATGTTGAAATTATGATTAAGAGGAGCTTGGCATATTGAATAGACACTTGTAAGAACAAGAATTATATATATATGCTTTCAACAAAGCTACGATAGGTTTTTTGAATTTATGCTGTATCTAAAACATTAATTACATAAGGTGTTTCTGACAGGGAATCTATTTTGAACATGACAAGAAATAATTGCCATTAAATACTATCATAAGTCAGCTAGTACTCCAATGAGTACAAGCGGACTGAGGGTAACGGACAACGTATCTAAATTGCTATGGTTGTACAAGCATTTTCAGGGTCATGAAAGCTTATATTTGTAACCTAATGTTAATCATTGCTAGGTAATGGTCCAAAGAAAGACCTGCCACCCTAATTGGCCTACGAAACCGTGCAACAGTTTAATCTAACTTTTAAACAGTTTAATCTAATTGCTAAACAGTTTAATATCTAATTTCTAAACAGTTGAATCTAAATTATAATGTGGCGAACAAGCAGCAAATGACAGTTTTGACTGTGTCGCATATCGAATGAATGACCTCCTGGGTCGCAATTCTCGGATTTCAAGTGAACATGCTCCATTTGACCATTGAGGCGAAGTCTCTGTTATATCATCAAAATGCATGAAATCTGCTTATATATTTTCTAGTCATATATTAATGTTTGATTACGCTTCTAAAAATATCATAATGTAATGGATATCTACCAAGTATGAAAGCATTTAAGCACGGTTTATATTTGTTTTATGTAAAAATCGTTCACAGAATCCTTTCATTGTATTCATTCAAGATGTTTATTTTTATTATAAAAAAAAAATGTTTTCTGTGGCGACCTGTAGACGACTTGGAATTAAATGAACGTATTATATGCGTAGCTGGTTTGTCATTGGGTCAGTAAATACCATACATTACTTAAAACCTTTTAAAATTCTTTCATAGACATAAATTCGGTTGTAGCTTTAGAATGATTTTTAGTACATGTACCTGTAGAAACCTTATTACAAACAGGTCACCACATCCTAATTTTTAGCATAGTTTTGTTTACAGAACCCGTAGAAGATACGAATCCATGGAAACTTTTTGATCTTTTGATAGTACCCTTAAAGGTTATCGATTAACATTGTTATATAGTATCTTTTATTATTGTCTTCAATGGTACTTACATTTATGTAATTTTTACTTGTTCAATACACAACCAAACATGTGCTGCAATCAAGGTATTAATATCCTATCGATACTTATATTTTGGCATTGAACAAGGTCATGCTTTTCAATTAATACACAAAAAATGCCAAAAAATAGCACCGATCTGATGAATCAGTTTGTTCACATGTTGTACCGTTTTCACCACTGTCCCGGTTTAAGATGGGGAAAATAATTCGCTTTCAATGTTCATAGAACTCGTTAAAAATATGGCGAAGGCCATAAGTTAGTGCCGTGGATTAATATTTTTACACCAAAGGAAACTTGTTAATTTATAGATTATATAGATATTTTTCTATCTTTTTCTTGACTGTTGTATGTACCATTATTTTAACTGATTGACGTACTGTCATGTTTTGTAATAAAACCATCAATGAACATTTAATTGGTTTAAATAAATTAATAAAAAATATTATTTTTTGATGATGTAATAATTAATACAAATGCGTTGTATATAATTTGCATGATTTATTGCCGTTTCATTGGGGAACTTTTGTGATAGTTTATTTAACTTTGCACAGATCTGAAATAAAACATATCATAACATAATTTATTTCTATTAATAATGCTTCATAACTGACTGTCTCCAGAACCATTCAGAAACCAGTATTGTTTATGACATAAACATCTTCATAAATAACCTTGTCACATTGTTATAATTGAATGTGCATCGCTGTGGTCAGATGGTGTTGATAAATAATCGAAATAAACTTTAAAAAATCTAAATGATATGAAATGCTGTAGTATATACTATTGAGAGATGAAACTTAAATAAAATATTGAATTGAATTGAATATGAAAAATCTGCCTGCATGACTGCATAAATGCCGGAGGTCAATATTTAAATAAAAATGCATCCATGGTTGCGCATTTTTGCCCTTTAGAATCCGACATGAATAAGATTGGATAAATGGGGGGTAAATTTTACTGAGAGGACAACACAACGATACAAAAAAGACACCTAGAGGTAACATAATGGTCCTTAACCCTCTTGCTGCCGCTACTTTAATATGGTTATCAACACTCGTTGTTTAATTTAAATAGTAATAATAAACTCGCCGAATGCTCGTTAATTATTATAGTGAAATTGAAGAAGGCGAGTTTATTATTACTATTTAAATTAAATAACGAGGGTTGATATCAAGCGATATCCAATTCTCACTCGTTATGAAACCTATAATTATCGAATTGAGAATATTAAAGATCTGCCATCTTCACGAAGATTTCGAAATGACAAAACATTTATTTAGATATGACAAAAACAAGAAATGATCATGTTTACATGAACCTAGTGTTTTGAGATTTCAGTTGTCTCCCCTTTTAAAATCGACCAGTGGAGTAACAGATGGTACATGTACAAGAACATGGAATAGAAATCAGTACAGGAAAAGCACTTTACTCTATTATAAAGGTAGAAACGTTCGTTTATATATAGAAATATAGAACGTTAGTTCTTCATACTGCAGCTGCCAATTCGTTGTAAAAGTTTTGCAATGTTTTGGTAAATACAAATTAAACTCAATAAAATAATGTTAAGATAAGTTTCTAGTATGTTTTGGAGAAATCAAGATTTTTAGCTCAAAATGTTTTTTTTTATTTGCAGTGCCTTCAAAGTAGGGATATTTTCAAAGCTTTAGGATTACAACAGGGAGATGATCTTCTGGAAGAAAATTTTGGCAAATTATCAATAATCTTAACCTATCATTTATTGAATATAAATCATTTCTGCTACCAAAATGCAAGTGTAAATCCGAACCTAGACTATTACAAGACAGAATTACTCAATACACTTAGTCAATCTCAGCAAAATATCAGAGTGAATGCCTTGCAAAAGGCTCTAGAGGACATTGATGACCAGTACGAATCTGACGAGGAGAAACATGACGATGACAGCCACGAAAGCCAAGAGCATGATCATGTTGACGATAGTCATGGTCATATCGATGATCATGATGACGATCACACCGATAGTGAAGAATCGTCAACGATGAAGACCAACGTTCATGATCACGATTCTGATTCTGCTGAAAGTGACCACAGTGACGAACACGATGATAGTCATGAAGATGACGACGATGAAGTAAAGGTTATTAAGAATAAGGTAAGTTCATGACGACCACGATGATAGTCATGAAGATGACGACGATGAAATGAAAGTTATCAAGAATTAAGGTAAGTTCATGACGACCATGATGATAGTCGTGAAGATGACGACGATGAAATGAAAGTTATTAAGAATTAAGGTAAGTTCATGACGACCATGATGATAGTCATGAAGATAATGGCAATGAAGTAAGGGTTATTAAGAATAAAGTAATTTAATGACGGCCTTTTTGATAGTCATTAAGATGGATTCAAGAATAATAAATCTACATTGTATCTGTATATTTTGGTAATATTTGCTGCAAGGTGTGAAATAGTCCCCGTATATGAAAGGACACGAACCGGTTTCTTATGTCCGAGGGTCAATGATGGGAGTTTGGCTACACTGTGTGTCCTTTTTGGGTTTTATCAGCTGTTCAATGTTTATATTAGGTTTTTAATTTTCTAAATATAAACTATCTTTCTTTTCATTTATAAAGCTTTATTTCCTGAATCTCAAATCATGCATGTGTAATGCTCTAAATTAATTGTAAACAGGACTGACCAACAGTTATCATATAAACAGGACTGACAAACAGCAATCGTATAACAAAGAGTGTTGATTGGCCATTGTCTGTATACTTATGATTGTTTATTTTATAGTGTTTGAGTGCCGGAACAATATTTGATGAATTGGATATGGATCCAGATGAAGATGTTCTTGATATCAACAGTGTGGATAAAATATCACAGTTATTGGTCTATCATTTCATGACAGGTATAAGGTTTTGCTATATTTTTTAAATCAAAATTTGAAACAAAGCCAAAAATTCTTAAGAATATTAGAATTTCACACGTATATATATGTACATTGCTATAACAATATTTACCCGTGCAATACTAGGCTATGCTATATCAATATTTATCCGTGCTATACTGGGCTATAGTTTTGTGCTATACTGGGCTATAGTTTTTGTGTTATACTGGGCTATAGTTTTGTGCTAGACTTGGCTTTAGTTTTTGTGCTATACTGGGCTATAGTTTTGTGCTACTAGTATATTGGACTATAGTTTTTGTGTTATACTGGGCTATAGTTTCGTGCCATACTGGGCTATAGTTTCATGCCATACTGGGCTATAGTTTTGTGCTATACTGGGCTATTGTTTTGTGCTATACTAGCTTATAGTTTTTGTGCTATACTGGGCTATAGTTTTGTGCTATACTGGGCTATGTTATATCAATATTTACCCGTGCTACACTGGGCTATAGTTTTTGTGCTACACTGGGCTATAGTTTTGTGCTATACTGGGCTATATTTTTTGTGTTATACTGGGCTATATATGTGCTATACTGAGCTATAGTTGTGTGCTACACTGGGCTATGTTATATCAATATTTATCCGTGCTATACTGGGCTATAGTTTTGTGCTATACTGGGCTATAGTTTTTGTGTTATACTGGGCTATAGTTTTGTGCTATACTGAGCTATAGTTGTGTGCTACACTGGGCTATGTTATATAAATATTTATCCGTGCTATACTGGGCTATAGTTTTGTGCTATACTGGGCTATAGTTTTTGTGTTATACTGGGCTATAATTTTGTGCTATACTAAGCTATAGTTGTGTGCTACACTGGGCTATGTTATATCAATATTTATCCGTACTATACTGGGCTTTAGTTTTGTGCTATACTGGCCTATAGTTTTGTGCTATACTGGGCAATAGTTTTGTGCTATACTGGGCTATAGTTGTATGCTATACTGGGCTATAGTTGTGTGCTATACTGGGCTATGTTATATCAATATTTATCCGTGCTGCACTAGGCTACAGTTTTTGTGCTATACTGGGCTATAGGTTTGTGCTATACTGGGCTATTGTTTTTGTGCTATACTGGGCTATAGTTTTGTGCTATACTGGGCAATAATTTTGTGCTATACTGGGCTATAGTTTTGTGCAATAGTTTTGTGCTATACTGGGCTATAGTTTTGTTTTCCCTTTTTTTTAATTTTTTTTTTATGATTTCATTAAGAATACTCCACGTGTGTTTAAAAATTTTGTCTTATGTGACGAATTCCTTATATGACGTATATTTGTATCATTCAAATTTAATTTACGGTTTAGATATTTTTTAATCATTTAAAAGTGGTCGATTTCATGTTTTGTTTGTAAATTCTCAATACATTCTTTTACAGGTGCCCGAATTCAGAAGGACTGTCGACTTTTCCCGAGGAAATCATATTTTGGGAATAATCTACTCACTTATATGGATGCAGTCAATGATAGTATTCCGAAAGAGGAATTTGTAAAGTTAATGGTCACCCTCAAAATTGCATCTGGAATGGATGAACATGACGATCACTTGCACAGCAGACGAAAACGAGACTTGACGAACGTGATTGGTCGGTCATTAATACATAGTCGGTCAAAGAGAGCCACAACAAGCGCCCAGGTAAACACACTTTAATTCATAAACAGGCAAAGCTATGTATACTACATTATTGTATTTCCTTTTCATAAAATTAAGTTCAAAATACACAATTTAAATACGTGAAGTGAGTTCAATATATCATTTTTCTTATATAAATAAAACGTCTTAAATGAACAAATAATCAGTTTAATAAAAAAAAAAAAAAATAGAAAAAAAACTTGCGTCGAATAATTAATCTGATTACAAATTACTAGTTTACTAAGGTCACAGAATATAAAAATATAATTTTTTTTTCAGAATACCTGCTATTCTCCCAACCAGCTTCTCGCCATTTACAATTCACAAACCGGAAATACAATTTCTAAACAAAAGTTCATGGAATTATGCCCGTCTCTGCTTTATCAACAAGTATCTGGTTCTTGTTCTGATTTGTCAAGTGATCCAGTAACAAAACCGGTGGATGATGCAGAAAGTAAGTTTTTTATCACGTGATATTGGATTTAATGGTTCTTTTGTTTTATGTTATGATTTAGATAAGAAATGCTAATACATCTCCTTTCCCCCGTCTTGATTAATATCGATTGTCAATCCGGATTACCACATTGAATGAAAACCCTTTTTTGTAGACCTAAATAATACTAGAAAATTAATGTAATACTAATCAGTCAATGCAGACGGAAATCTACCCAATAAGATACCGAAACAAAGACAACAAGAAACATTAATTTAACCATAATAAGTCACAGGCATTTGTCTCTGGAAAAAAGCACCTATATATATCAATAGGTATAAACACATTCAGAGACAAGTGCTTGTGATATAAGTTAATGCTGATGTTAGAACATCAATCCAAAGGTAAAATCAAGCCTTTAAAGTGGAAAATTTTGGTGAAAATTGTTTTGAAATATTATATAAGAAAATGAATAGGTAAATTGAATAATAATTGTTTACCTATTTTTTAATTCTGATCTCAGGATATGGATATGGCTCGTTTGCAGTATTTCTGATTTGTCTTTGTTCTGTGCTCGCCGTCTTGGTTATACCAATAGCCAAAAGTTCAAGGACCTGTTTCCGTGCTGTAATGAACCTGTTTTTAGGATTGGCCATCGGAACATTGACCACAGATGCGTTGCTGCATCTTTTACCAACGGTATGTAGTATGTTAAGTCATAATTCATTTCACACTTTTTGTTTGATTGTTTAAGGGTATATATGGTCACATTAAATGCACTTGAATATTTATATTTGTTCCACAGAGTTACTGTTATAAGTTATATATCCCTTTCTTATATATCCACTTTGTTACATACAGAAAAACCACAGACACACACAAAAGGGATCCAAAATTAAGTCATGCCTTGTAGAATCAACGATCTGATTTTTATCAGGAAGTACAATAGTAAAACATATACATTTCGGTTTTTTTTTAATGCCACTGCTTTCGTTTTTGAAATTTTCCTTAATTATTGTATTTGATTACCAATTCATGTATATTCCATGTTCGAAATCAATTAGAAAATTCGTATTTTCAGGCATTTGGACTCCATGGCCATAGTGAAGAAGAGCATGCACATGGAGATGCATTCATGGAAAAATATATAGGGTTTGGTTTAGCGGCCTTAGCAGGTAAATATTAAGAAGTTTTCACGTTAAACAGTCAATTATTTTTGTTTCATTCTTTTCCAATGTTATTTGAACATTTCAATGCAATGCTGTCCTAATGACGTCATAAATGTGTAATAATTTGCATATTTTATATTAAAAAAAACTTTCACTTTATGGAAAGTTCTGGTAGAATATAAAATATGATCAAAGCTTTACCCTAAACACCATATTAAACCCAAAAATTTTGTGATACCCATTTTGAATGATAAAGGACTTACTAGAAGTGATTCTCAAAGGATACTATTTACAATGGTATATTTATTCTAGTTCTAAATGACAAAGTCAATCATAAAAAGCCTCACCAAACACTTTATTTGACAGTAAAATGTTGACCTGTTTTTCAATCGATTAAAAGTTTTATAATCTCCTCTGAAACCACTCAAACATTGCTGTAATAGTGCATGGAGGATTTCTACAAACGATTCTCATTCGGCTTCGATCGAAAGAAAAACTCGGCTATTAGACGTTATGTTTGATTATAATTGGCCATATTTTCGTCTTCTTTGGCAACAGTAAATTACTCATGTTCAAATCTCGTTAATCAGTTTTGAATGCGCTAATCCATTGAAAAAAAGCAGCAAAACCGGGTGCGTTGACAAGTAAACATTTACTGGTATAGTATGCATGCATTACCCTACATCAAATCCAAACTCGATCAAAATGTCGCGTTAGGGAATTAGATATTCTCTGTAAATTTATAGATCAGACATCTTTTCGTGTATGATCTATGACCGCAAAAACATGTCTCTCGTTAGTAGTGACACAGACATGTTGTATCGTTCACAAAATTTTTAGAAGGAAACCGTTAAATTAGTGATTAATTTCACTTGTTCTTCCTCATAAACCCCTGGACCAGTTTTTGCGATATAAGCACTAACCTGTTAAAGAATTTTTTATAATTTAAAGAGAGAAGCATCGATTGAAATGAGTAATCATGCTACGATGGGCAAAGGGTACTACTGAGAAATGGAAAGTTGACATTGGGGAAACTGAGATCGTCACGTTTATCATGGGTTCTAGTTTGAAGTCGGCCATCTGTGTAAATTTAGAGACAAATATCCAGCTGTGAAGTAGACCTTCGTGTTGCAGTAGTATCAATAATATCAAGTTCACTGGGATATGAGAATACAAGGACTCGCTCAAATGTGGGTTATCATCTGAACGAAAAATTAAAGAACTTGATAGGATGTTTTTTCTGATTGTCTTTGAGGTGTTGTATGAATTTGCTTCATATGAATACAAAACCAAGTCGGCCGTTAGGGGTGTTCAATTAATATTCATATACCGACTGGTTTTTTTAATATCAATCGACAATCACAAAATAAAATATTTCATTACCTAAAGCAAGAAACGCGTATCAACCTTTTTTTGTTAAAAAAAAAAAGAGGCAGTGTTAAATGAGATAATTAAAAACGATTTTTCTAAATTTTGAAATGTCGGTAGATAATTAAAAATTCATGTATTGTCTTTCAGCACTGTGTTAATTCATTTCAACCATTCATCATTTACTATTTAATGACATTTAAAACTTTAATCATAGCATCGCAAAAGTACAAATATACCTTTTATCTATTAAAAGCATGACAAATGTTAAATTATCGTTGCACTTTGATGATAAATGCTCAAATTACATTTATAAGAGGAATACATTTGTTACCTAATCATGGTAATGTATTACTTGCAAATATATTTTTAACATATGTAACGTTAATCAACAGTAAGATACATTCATGAACACATTTTTTATTTGCAACAACGTGATATTTTTATTTGTGGTGACTAATAGGTTCATTGGGCCAGGTATTTTCATATTTATCGTATATCCTATCTTTATAATTTGTAAACGTTTACAAATGTTTACACATGTTACTATAATAAATAATTTACTTACTTACTTACTTGAATGTCCCTTTGGTACCTTTGGCCTCTCTTTTACTTACATGTTATGTATATACGAGTTTTATGTATGGTTCGTGTTGCTCAATCTTGTGCTTTGTATACTGTTGTTTGTCTTTGGTCGCTTTTCCATGACGTTGTCAGTTGGTTTTCGACTTATAAGTTTGAATGTCCCCTTAACCCTCTTTTGCCTCTCTTTTGTAAAAAAATAATCTCCATAATAATATGAAAACTTTTTCTAAAACATTTTTTTTCTTAAACGTATTGTAGTAGTGAAGAGTGTTTTGAAGGATTTAATTGATGTGTAAAAAGTAGAATAACAATGACCATTCAAAACGGAAAGTCCTATCGAATGATAAAATCGAATTCTCAAACACACCAAACATATGGAATCAATTGTCATATCCTGACTTGATACAGACATTTCCTTATGTAGAAAATAGTGGATTAAACCTGGTTTTATAACTAGCTAAACCTCTCACTTTTATGAGAATCATATAAAATTCCATTATACTGACAACAATGTGTGAGCAAAACAAACAGACATAATACGTAGAAAAAAATTGAGTACAGCAGTCAACATTGTGTTATAATCTTAATAACTATAAAAACAAATAACTATTTCAACAAAGAAAACAAAATGGCATATAGACACTCTGTAGATAAAGTACTTAAACAAAAATGAAAGACAAGAATACAAAAATAACCATAGCACAATAACACAATGGCGGGATGTATAAATACCTAGCCACGCCAAAGGATATTACCAAAAATGAACTTAACAGTACAGGTTAAAAATATACTAACACAAATATAAAGAACACTAGAACACGTAATTAAGATGATAAACAACGTCAGTACCTAGAATTTATACTTCAAGACCATCATGTATTATTTGTGAAGTTGGTACGGAATATTTATCAACAAGGTCTTGGTATCTTCCGATTAACTTTTTTAGAAAAAGGACGAGACGTTCTTTAAATTCGATCGTCTATAAAACTTAACATAAAATCAAAAGTACTCACAAACGGAAAAAAAGTCAGAAGTTTGTAAATGAAACGCCGATTTTATGCACCAATACACTCTGTTAAAAGAAACTTTATTACTTAAAATTTCATTAAAATGAACTAAAGTTATGCCAATATAAAAAAATAAACACTTACAAAATATATTTCTCACAAATAAATAAAGAATTCACAAATGTTTTGCCTCATTACAAACCAGTTAGTATTCTTCACTTTCAAATTGCGATGGAAATAAGGTGATGACATAGGGTTGCCAATGGAACAACTTTCTAGACAAGACACAATTGCGAGCGAATATATTAAGTAATATGTCGTTGTCTCTGAGCTAATATCAACGACGTTTACTTTATATAGAACTTATAAAGTGAGAAATAACCTCGTTAAGATTGTGGAAATTCAATCAACAGCTTTATTTAAGAATATTACTTAGAAAAATGTGAGTAAGATTAAAGGGTAACTAATGGCTGGTAAGCTCGGAGTAAGATTTATAGAGTTATATATGTCTGATGAGGCTATCGAAAAGAAAAAAGGAGATGTGGTAAGATTGCCAATGAGATAACTATCCACCAGAGATCAAATGACTTCGATGTAAACACTAATAGGTCACTTTGTAAGCTGCCACATCAAAAATTCAATTTAGCATGTTGGTTAATTGCAAATCAAAGTATGCTAACATGTTATCGTGCAGAACATTCTTATATTACTACCACACGTTAAGCAGCCATCAATCAATTAGTGAATAAAATTCGCGATTAGTGCTGGCTTTATGCACCTGTTCTCATTAAGTTTATCTACCTTAGGGACAAGCCTTTTTTATGTTTATGTTTAATGGTTCTGACTTCTTATGGTATTTACCTAATTTACTTACACAATCGACATCCTGAAAGTGACATATTTGTCAGCTATCCAAAATTACTTTAAATAAATAGATTGCTGTCAAAGGACAAGCTATTTTTGATATAAAAGTTATGTTATATTATCTTTTGGCATGATTTAAACCGGATACTTGTTACGTTTATGTCGGTTATGAAAGTAAATTGAGATTGATGAAAAAATACAATATAGACCATGAAGATGACTAGATATTCGATAATGAGAGAATATACAAATATTGATTAAAAAACTATCATATTTAAAATATGTAAAAAAAAATTCATCAAAATTTAACACCCGTTTAATATATTAAACGTGTAATCCTATTTTTAATAACTGAGGAAATGTAGTAAATATGTGCAAAAAGAAAAAAATAACAAATTTCCCTTCATTCTTTTAAGCTTTTCTTACACTACACTACTTATGTCATGTAATGATATGTTCATAATACCGACATTTTTTTTGTTCATCATATGTTTATTGAAAAATGCATTTCCAATCAGTGGTGATCAAAACAAAATATTGATGATTCAGAGAGAACTAAACCTTTTAATGGACGTCAAAACCGTAAAAAAAAGCACTTAACAAAGGACGTCAAAACCTAAAATAACTTGGCAATTAATAAATGACATCAAAACCTAAACTAACACTAAAAAAGTTTAAGTACTTATAAAATATTTCAGTAACGTTTAAAGTAAGACTCAAGATAAAAAAAATATTACTACTACAGTACAAATACTATAGCCACAGGGCTAGCATTATCCACAACATACTAAATATGTCATCGACCTAATGGAAGTAATATGATTTATCCCGCGGGACTTGCAGTCCATCAGCACAGGTCTCAACCTAGTGGTAGTTATATCCAAATGGATCAATTAGTGATTGCAGCGATCTAATGGCAGGGATAATCACAGGGACTCGCATTTCATTAATAATGGCATAGCCCTAGTGGCAGTAATATCCCTACGAATTTTTAGTCAATTCGCACTGGTATCGTCCTAGTTGCAGTAATATTCCAACGGAGTTCATCAGCAATGGCATCGACCTAGCAATTGAAAAATTCCAGGGGACTTCCAGTTCATCAAACGTGGCTTCGACCTAGTGGTAGTTAAACAAAATGTCTCGATACAGAAATTAATTACTTGCACCATATAAGCATTTAAAATTGTTCGTAAGGCTAACCCATCTTACGTGGCTGTGTATTTATACATTCCGCACAGTCAAACGGACACACTTCAGTACGAGTCATATAACCGGAAGGGATTGTCTAAGTGGCATATTTCTGAACAGCAAACCGTTTGGATAATGACCTGAAGAATCATAGTTCTTGGTTTGGAGTTTCTTTTCTGCATAAAAACCTTTCTGTTTGAAATAGTCATCATAACTACAAGTATAATTGTGATTGACCAAGATTATACGGTCCACTGAATATTAAAATGTGATAGTCCAAGAGAGCTATGTTGGCCTATGGGCGGTGTCTTCCTGCTATTCCTACATTTTATAAATACATATTCCTTCTATTCCTACAAACAAAGAACAATAGATGTTGGTATAAGGTGTTTTGTTGTTTTAGCAATTTAAATTTGATTAAAATACAGATAATCTGGAAAGGATTATTACAATGATAAAAATGAATAGAAAAAAGTAGATGCATTGCAGAGAATATAGAACAGAAAATGAATGTATTTCTGTTAAAAAAACATTTTTTTTTTAAATAATAAACCCCATATACGACTTTTATTTTAAAGTTTAATAGATATATTTAAGGGGATATTATATTGTCCGGTGAACTTTATTAATTTTGACTATGTTCTAATTAAATGGCGTAGATGCTAGAATAAATGCTACAAAAGTATTATTATCATCATTGATATTTTGGGAGGCGGCTTTCCTGGTATGGAACTTGCGCCCTACTTAACTACTTATTGTGTGAAAAATAAAAATTCCCTTAATGTTTCGTATTGTTTCATGTGAGTTCTGGAGTTGTGAGTTTTTGTGAAGTCCTTACTGTGTTGTGAAGTTGTACTTATGTAAAATTCGACAGTTTGTTGAAATATTGATGTTGTCATTGAGTGATACATATAAGCTAATTATATAGATAATTGCTTTGATATGACAGACAGACAGACAGACAGACAGAATATTTTATTACATGTGTGGTAATAGTAGCCAGTAAATGAAATAAATAAAAATAGAAAAAACGAATGAATCTGAATGTCCATCGCGAAGATGGAGAATATATATTGCTTCCCGATAGCCCAGTGTCAATTATTTAAAAAAAGCCAAAGCTATATATGTGTCAAATAAATAAAACATTGATAAATAAATAATAAAATTATCATATTTCTTTCACCTACTTTGAGCTTAGCAAACAATATTATATCTGAAATTCCCATAGATACCAAGAGACTAGTTTGGTTTGTAGCTCCCTGTTCAGCGAGGATCGTCAAGGTGATGTGTGTTGACCTCGACTGCCCTCACTGATCACTGGGTTGAAAGTAATCGAAGTCTCTGGAACTGCTATGCAACAGATGGCCCAAGAACTACAAATCATCTAGAGGGCTGGCGCAACAAGTTAAAGAAATTGGTCAAGGCACCCCGACCAAACATATTTAGTCTTGTCAAGCTGCTGAAGCATGAAGAGGCGATTCATGCGTGCAAACTGCTCCAATATGCAGCAGGAGGGAATTATGTACCAAGGCTATTTACTATTTTTCATGAACATGATGAGACAAGAATATATATTTCTTTCAATAATTTGCATCATTTTATACTGTTAGTACACTAAAATTGAACATGAATTGAAAGCTAAAAGGCATTTCGTTATGTTCTTCTCATATATGTTATGATGGTATGATACTAAACCCCTAACGGGAAGGATTGTTCCTGATATTCATATGCTGAAGACATAATCTTTCAATCAGTTTAATTGAAGTCTGGAGCTGGCATGTCAGTTAACTGCTAGTAGTCTGTTGTTATTTATGTATTATTGTCATTTTGTTTATTTTCTTTGGTTACATCTTCTGACATCAGACTCGGACTTCTCTTGAACTGAATTTTAATGTGCGTATTGTTATGCGTTTACTTTTCTACATTGGCTAGAGGTATAGGGGGAGGGTTGAGATCTCATAAACATGTTTAACCCCGCCGCATTTTTGCGCCTGTCCCAAGTCAGGAGCCTCTAGCCTTTGTTAGTCTTGTATTATTTTTAATTTTAGTTTCTTGTGTACAATTTGGAGTTTAGTATGGCGTTCATTATCACTGAACTAGTATATATATTTGTTTAGGGGCCAGCTGAAGGACGCCTCCGGGTGCGGGAATTTCTCACTGCATTGAAGACCTGTTGGTGACCTTCTGCTGTTGTCTGTTCTATGGTCGGGTTGTTGTCTCTTTGACACATTCCCCATTTCCATTCTCAATTTTATTTCATTTAAATTTACCTGAAGTTAATTAGCTTCTTGTTTTTACAACCTAATCCGATTTAATCCCATGTTTGTACAAGCATTCCTCCTATTCCTACATGGATTTCTTACATTTTACATACCGAATTATCAATTGTAGGAATAGCAGGAATAAACCCCTATGGGCACGTATTCTTCTAATTATTCTAATGTTATGATTATATAGCTTCACAAATGATAAGATTAGATTATTATGAATATAATGCAGGTCTTCACTTCTCATCATATGCATGCATATCAATTGTTTGTCGATTTTTATTCTAATCCATTTTTTGTGTAAATTTTTACGTATTTATTTAAGTATATGACACTATTCTTCCCATTTATTACAGGTATTTATGGATTTTACTTGTTGGAATTAGTGATGTCATTCTACAGAAAAAACCCAACCTCCGCACATGGACATTCACATCTGCAATATGAATTAGATCTTAATGTAAGATAATACAAAAGTGTACATCATTGTCTTTTTCACATGATAAAGAAACAAGTGGAGAGAAAAAAATAATATATCTTCTTTACAATGAATTTGCTGTACAAATAATTACAGAAAAATATATATCCAGAGATTATATACTTTGCATATTCTTTTCTCCAGATTTGGTATAGAAAATCTTATTATTATAAGCCTTGTATCTTTAACGAGTTTTACACCACTGCATTTATATAATATATATCTATATCATACAATGTGTTCAAGGGAAAAAAACCTAAAATGAAGCGTAACAACATAGGGTTATGTCACAATTTGCTTTTTGATTGTTGTTTTCAAATCTTCTTTGTTAAATAAATTGAAAAGAGTGTAATGCATTAATACAATACTTTCAGATTCCGAATGGTAATGGTCATGTGACGGAATCAAAACGTGATTTGTATAACAGTCAAAATGATATGAATAATTCTATACAGTTTGAAACAGAATTTAGTGATAAAGGTAAATGTAATAAATGTCAGAATATTAGAAATGATATAAATCCAAATTGTTCAATTTAGTGAACAATATGTGTCTCAAAGAAACTAAACACATTACCAAATAATCAAATAATGAGTTATATCACCTACAATGTGGAAAATAAGTTCTAGTAGTAGAAACTAATCTTAATTTAATTTCATATGCTTATCAAGGTTAACTTTCATAAGGTACACGCGGAATCCAAAAAAATAAAAGTTTGTTAGATTAACTTAAAATGACAACCATGTTTCTTAAGACAAATTTGCCTTTGGAAATGGATTATCATTGAAAATTCATCAACTTATTTAAAACAAACATATACTAATGCAAGATTTCTGTCAACTTAGTGAATAATATCCTCCTTGACTAACGTTGGACCTTGTTACTAATGTTATGTACTTGTATCATGCAAATGGCAAAAACACGAATGGACTAATAATACATCGTTTATTAGTAACAAAGGCATGATAACATATGGAAATTGCCGATGTAGTTAACGGTTCGCAAAAACTGTTATATACTAAAATTGAATGAATGCTGTTGTAAAATTTAAATTAAGAAAAAACTCAATATAAAGATGATAAAAGTAAGAAATACAAGTAAAATATATTAAGTGTGTTCACCTTTATTAAAGTTTGATTATAAGACTTTTACAACTTTGAGGATGAAGGGATGATGATGATGGATGGCTGCTTAGAGGATGAACTGAGGAAAATTCGCTAGTGCTGTGTCAATGAATTTAGAAAAGCTATTTTTGTCGAGCCTGCGACTTTTGTCGCAAAAGCCTACATTCTGTCGTCGTCGTCGTCGTCGTCGACGGCGTCTACAAATATTCACTCTGTGGTTAAAGTTTTTCAAATTTTAATAACTTTCTTAAACTATCCTGCATTTCAACCAAACTTGGACAGAAGCTTGTTTATGATCATAAGATAGTAACTAGAAGTAAATTTTGTTTAAAAAAAATCCTGTTTATCCGTATTTTACTCATAAATGGACTTTTTCTGCCAGTTAACATTACATTCACTCTGTGGTTAAAGTTTTTCAAATTTTAATAACTTTCTTAAACTATCCTAGATTTGAACCAAACTTGTTTATAATCATAAGATAGTATCCAGAAGAAAATTTTGTAAAAAATAAATCCTGTTTATCCGTATTTCACTCATATATGGACTTAGTTTTTCTGCCAGTTAACATTACATTCACTCTGTGGTTGAAGCTTTCAAAATTTTAATAACTTTCTTAAACTATCCTGGATTTGTAACAAACTTGGACAGAAGCTTGTTTATGATCAAAAGCTAGTATCTAGAAGGATATCTTGTAAAAATTTATTTCCTGTTTTTCCGTATATTACTTATAAATGGACTTAGTTTATTCCAGTTAACATTACGTACAGTCTGCAGTTAAAGTTTTTAAAACATTTATTAGATTCATAAACCTTCTTGGATTTTTACCAAACTTGAACAGAACTTCTTACAATCAAAAGATAGTATCTAGAGGAAAATTCTTAATAATTTTTCCCCATTTTTGTTGAGCCTTATTGATTAACTTATTGATTAAAAAAGTTCTTTACTGGAACAAATTGGTTGTGAAAATACTGGGTAAGTAATAAACCTCTTATCAATATACATTCATATACTATTTGACAAATCCGAGTAGCATCTATATTTTTTCCACTTTTATATTTTCAGGTGTATCATCCTTATCTTTAATGGTGTTAATCGGAGATGGTATTCATAATTTTGCTGATGGTCTAGCCATAGGAGCTGCCTTCACTCAAGGCAATGCAGTTGGAATTGCTACTAGCATAACTGTCTTTTGCCATGAATTGCCACATGAACTAGGTATTGATTTTTACATATGGTGCTAGTATTGAAATTTAAAAAAAATCATATATATATATATATTATACGAAATTCTAAAGATTTGCACAACGGGACTAATATAAGATGGTAATATACAAAGATGAATCGTGTTGACAAATAATTCGGATGAACAAATAGTCTTTGTCAGTGTCAATTATGTTTATTTACATTTATTGTTTTAGTTCTAGAATATGCATGAGTAAAATAACACAAATTGGAAAATCTTGAGAAATGGAAATAAAAATCATTTCAACTACAACTGAGTAATTTTGTATCGTTAACATTTAGTGTATTATATCATTATAAAAATAAACGATTTCGCATTTGACAAAACTATGCAAAGTAGCAATCAATTACAATGTTTACATAAACATATTAACAGAATAAGGTAAAAGGATTCAAGTTAAAAGAGATGGTTACATTTGTGTAAATTACATACACAAAATGGTTTACAATATTTCTTTTTATTATTGTAAGAACAATTCTTTTTCAGGTGACTTTGCTATTTTGTTAAAAAGCGGATTAAGTGTAAAGAAGGCAATGTTATTGAACTTTTTATCAGCATTAACTGCATTTGTTGGTTTGTATGTTGGACTGGCAGTGTCAACAGACGAATCTATACGACAATGGATATTTGCAGTAACAGGAGGTCTTTTCTTGTACATATCTTTAGTTGATATGGTATGTATCTATAAATCATTTCTACAAAAAAAACATATCCAAAGTGTTAACAATGAAAACAAAATACATTTGAGGTAAACATCAATGAGAAAGTAACTGACAAAGGATTCATTAAGAGTTCGTTCATCATATGAACTGTAACCATGTATACGCGCATTTACAGCATGGTAAACTTTATGTTCCAAACAAATGAAGAAATTGATATTTCTGATGAAAAGACCAAATATTTGACATCACCTTGAAATTTTAGGTTTTTTTTTTTGTCTCATTTTCTTCTGTAGTTCAACTTTTAAATAATTTCTGAATAATAACTTGCTTATTGCCTTTGTTAATTTTTGTTTGCTTTGATTTCTTTAAGTCCATATTGTATATGTATTCTTTTGCAGTCATAATTAATATTTTGTTCCTTTTTTCACAGCTCCCCGAGTTGATAAATGGTCATATTGGAAGTAATTCAACAAAAATTGTTGGTATGATCTACAACAATATAGGAATACTTATTGGAGCACTGATATTATTTCTCTTGTCTGTGTATGAAGAGCAGATTAAGATTTAATTGAAAAAGTAAGTACTATTTATTTTACTGGTCCACTACTAATGTTTCGCACACATCTAAATTGAAATGGATCAAAGATGCCAGACTTATAGTTTTATTCAGCATACGCGTATTTCGTCTTCATAATACCCATCAGTGAGACTCGAATCAAAACAGCTTAAACGGCCAAATCCAATACTTACTTGAAGGGCATTTAAAACCGAAAATTAAAAATAAAACTGTGGCAAATAAGGTTAAGACAATCTATACCTGGAAGTAGAACATAAGTAATTCAAATACTTCAATATTTTATATACAGTAAATTTACAGAACAATGAGCATATCAATGGTATATCATGTCATCACACAAAAGTGTTGACCACTGAGCTGGCTAAAATTGAAATAAAATTTAACAGTTTTGTAATGAAATAAGACGACATACAGTTGGACAAACATAATCATAAATAAAAGAAAGACACACCACATGAGGACAAAAACGATACGTAAGGACAATATAAGTTCACAAAACAAACAAAAACGATACGTAAGGACAATATGTGTTCACAAAACAAACAAAAATGAGACGGAAGGACAATATGAGTTCACAAAACAAACAAAAACTACTACTATAAAAATAAAGATGCAATATAACCCTATCATAAATTAACATTTAAAGTAAAAAAACTTTTCACTATTACTTTGATTTAAGAATATTTGTTATTCCCAATTTATTTTTCTTTACAAGTGAAGGTCATTGTTACTTATCAAATCAGCTGAAAAACGATTTATAGCAATATTATCAATTAGTCCAAAAAGTCAATTAAACAATACTGTCTGTAAGCTACAAAAAGGCAATTTAGCAATACTTTCAACAACATACAAGAAGTCAGTTTAGCAATACTTTCTATGGTTCTCTAAATGTAGGTTCTGTATGTCCATATGATGTTATCCAAAGAATATTCCTTTTTTATGGATAACCCATGAACGTGGTTTTAATTCTAACTGAAATCTATTGCTTTTATTAAAAGTAAATATCTTTTACTTCCAATCAACATAATATATATATAGAAGAGGGGGAAACATACTAAAGGGATATTCAAACTCATAAGTCGATAACAATCTGATAATGTCATGACGAATAACGGATCAAAAGACAAACAACAGTAAACAACACACAACATAGAAAACTAAAGACTGAGCAACAAAAAATGTGCAGTTTGATACCAGCTTACATGTTACAAATATGTGGTCACATGTCTGTTCTGATATCAAGTTTCTTCACATATTTTGCAATAGATTACCTGAAATGATCCATTTTACTTTTCTTTTTAACATTTAATGATCAAAAGGAAGTCTTATGGAAACCACCATTGAAAAATTAAATCTTTCTAATCAAATATTGCCAATCACTGCTCGAAGATATTTTTCGTTTTAATTTTTAATGATTTTCTGACTTTCTAACTTAAAAAAAATGGTATTGTTATCTTTTGACAAACTATTTTACGCTCTGCATTAAAAAAACGTGTAACTAGTCTATGAACAATACTTCAATTGAATGCTAGCATTATGCCTATGATTCTGTTTTGTCAAATCGTTTCTTATTAGACTTGTCCTGATTCTATTGTATATTAATGATGTTAATTTCATTGTTTTTTAGTTTGATAACCAGAACTGTCCAAGTACATTTCAAACTATCCCAAAGATAAAGCAACAAACTGGAAGATATATGCTAACTTGTTATCAAATTCATTCTTCATATAACATAGATTAATTACTAAAAATTGATGTTTTATTACTTCATATTATATTACACATATCTTGTATGAAACGTTTCTAATAATAATATTTTTTGAATATCCTTATTATTGAAATACCACGAGGAACCTTTGTATTTTTATGTCTTATATGTACAATGTTTGTCAAAACATCCGAAATTAAATGGTACTATATAAAAGTATCAAATGCAGTGTATTATAGCAAATAATTGGTCTTTTTGTACACGGTTGGGATATTTTAACATTGTTTTCATTACGTTTTGAGTTCTAAAAAATTGTCTCATTAAACAGTAAAATTATAAAAGTCCAAATAGACAGTTACAGTATTTTATTGAATTCTATTGAAAATTTCAATCACTTGTGTCAGAGATTTGTACTGACATGGTAACAACATATGTCAAACATTTAATTTGTAGTGGTCAAATGTTCCGGATTGACACTGTTTAAGAACTCTGGATTATTAAAGTAAAACATATAGGGAAAAAATATGACACACATTTTCTAAATGTCCTCTATAATTCAAATTGAACAATTTAAGATTGTAGGTTATAGGGTGGTTCCATTCAAAATCTTAAAGATCAGTATTTACTAATGATAATCATCAGTGCATATTACCATTTGACGTTTAGCAAACAACAGTCAATCAATCATCAGTGAATATGAGAGGCTTTAAAATTTTGATTTCTTTTACTTTGACAAATGAAAACCAACTGCAGTTTTATGTATATGTATAGTAAATTGTCTGTATTTCCCTCACAAGTTGTTTTTGCATATTTTTTTTCTTTATGATTAATGCATGTAAATAGTAATACATATCAGAATCGGAAGTTAATCTCATGTTTTATATTTACTTATTTATTTATTTTCTCGCTGCGTTGAAGACCCATTGGTGACCTGGAGCTGTTTCTGCTCTTTGGTCGGGTTGATCCCGTTTCCATTCTCAATTCTATTTGGTGAGCTTTTAATATATTTTGTGAAATAATTAATTTTATACTTTACCAAATGTAGTTGATATGATGTTATGACCACAATAGTGGTATACAAAGAATATGAGCTTTTTTATAGGTCATTGTTCCTAAAAAGTTATTTCTTATTTTGTTCAAATCATACACTAGAAAAGCTCATAAATATGTCTTAAATGTGACACAGTCGTAAAATAAAATATGAGAAGTTATGCTTTGTTAAAATCTATCAGACAACTGTAAGTGGGTTGTATAATATCATACATTATAATATAAAATGTTAAGAAAATTTCCCTTTATATGCAACTGACCTGGTTTGACGGAAATTGTACATAAACGATGCAATTAAGTAATGGAAAGGTATCTAATTAATCCCTTCAAAGGTAAACCTTTAAGGAAATATTTTATCATGACAGTTGATAAAACCAATGAACTAAATTTCCTATAAAATAAAACACCAAGTCATTTTAATAATCGAACTTCAAGAAAAGTGTGGAGTTAAAACTTCTGACTTCATTTATCAATAAAATATCATTGATTTTGTTTCTCATTATGGCGATTTCACTTACAAAAGTCTTCTAATTATAAAAAAAATAATCCAGCAAGGTAATGATGAACTGGTATTATCATTCCACAAGTTTGCTGCTTGCCATCATGAATTGGTTATTAAGTTGCCTCGGTTTGGAGATTTGCGATACAGTAATCATTTCTTCATTTGAAACAATAATACATTCCCATAACATTCATATATGTAAGTGACTAAGATATTTGTTTTCAAAGCGAATATCTTCCAAGTCTTGTTTTTTTTATACAAATGACAAATGGCTTATATTTCACAATTATACAAACTTGTCAAAACTTAATATATATATATATGGATTGCATTTTCATCTGCATAGCTATCATTATGTCATAATACGATTATTGTGTATATATAACACAAGTAGGTCTTGTGGTTTTTAATTTTCAAAACATAATTGTAATTTGATTTTAATATCTATCTCATTTCAAATGTTGAATTGTATTGATAAATGTCATCGACTCATTGTTATCATTTAGCTACCGTTGTTATATTTTAATACAAATAAAGCATTCATTCTTAATTAGATCAAGCTTAGCAAAGAATATTTGAAATAAAAGGGAAGTTCAAGAAAACAAATAGAAAGAATGTTAGCCGATGAGTGAAGAAACATATCAATTATGTGCTGCATATTATGGTATATGGGAACATATAGCAGCATCAATAATTCTCAGAATAATATGTTTGATATATAAGAAGAAAAGACAAAACTGTTGGAGGCCTACGCGACGGCATTAATGCAAAAACTATCTTCAAAATTAGAAATCAGCTGAGGATTTTATCAATATTTTTGTAATAACACTTCACCAGATTTTAACTTGCAATGAGTACAGGAGTGGGTGCCACTTTCAGTCCGTTTTAATTTGTTGGGTTTGTGTTTCTCAATGTTTTGTTTCTGTATAGTGTTTTATGGATTGCTTTCTGTTTGTAATTCTTCTTTTAGTCATGGTAATAACTTGCAAAAGAAACCAGGCTTATAATTTGTTACGTTAGACGCGCGTTTCGTTTACATAAAGACGCCTCAATTGTTATAAATATTAAAATAAGAAGATGTGGCATGATTGCCAATGAGACAACTCTCCACAAGAGACCAAATGACACAGAAATTAACAACTATAGGTCACCGTACGGCCTTCAACAATGAGCAAAGCCAATACCGCATAGTCAGCTATAAAAGGCCCCGAAATGACAAATGTAACGAGAAAACTAACGGCCTGATTAATGTACAAAATAATGAACGAAAAACAAATATGAATTACAGTAACAATCGACAACCACTAAATTGCAGGCTCCTGACTTGAGACAGGCATATACAGATTGTGCTCGAATAAAAATTCTGTAATGCCAAATCAAACACGAAGCTGAAGAGCTCTGTAAGCCAAACATTCCAGAAAGATGTGTGAAGAGCACTGCAAGCCAAACATTCCACAAAGTTGTGTGAAGAACACTGCAAGCCAAACATCCCAGAACGTTGTGTGAAGAGCACTGCAAGCCAAACATTGCAGAAAGTTGTGTGAAGAGCACTGCAAGCCAAAATTCCCAGAACGTTGTGACGTTACGCACGTTATTGCGTCAATAACGTGTAATCAACCAGTCCACACTAATAAACAGCTTTTCTATAAAATCATAACAGTGAAGTTATATAAATTTTTTATCCATAGACTAGACTAGTGAAATCTATTCCGAAAAAAACTACAAACTGTTTTATCATATTTTACAATAGTCTAAAATAAGGACAACATATTGAAAAATCGTACTAAATATGCGTGTCAGACGTAACAGACTATACGCATAATAACTTTAGCAGGGGTGTTTGTGTTCTTCAAAACAGTGTTATATCCGCGAAAATTCGAATGAATGATATGCTTTATATATAAAGTATTACAATATTACTGAATATGCGTTCCTGTAACAACCAACGTTATTGTTTGGCAAAAACAAAAAGTGTCCATTATGGTCAGATTTAGGAAAATCTTAAGTTATCAAAATTTATAGGTTTCAAAATGTAAGATTATATGAAATTTCGTTTGTGTAAATTATGCTCACAAAAGTACATATATAAACCATATCAAAATCGAATTTTTGCAGCACTCACACCACATATAAAAAGGCAACGGCTTCTGGCAAATGTCTTGCAAGATGTCCAATGTCGGATTTCGCCGCTTTTTACAAATAAACTGTCATTTGCGACGTTATTGTTGAAAATTGAGATTTGTTGCGTGCTTAATATTGCTTTTCCGTGATTGTACTTTAACTCTACGAAACAGCTACATACTTTTTGATAATTTGCGTAGTCAAAACGACTTCGTTTTCAAAGAAATGAAATGTCTTGCAAGTTTGTCCACTGGACGATTTTCATACGTTTTGAACGTTGTAAATTCGGGACGCTATTTATGGTGGATCATCTGTATATATTTCCTCAGATAGAATTTTCTTGATTGTCAGATACTATCAAAAAGACCACAAAGTATAAAAAAAAATCCGATGGCTGGGGTTGTTCGTTTAGATGAGGTTCTTTAGTTGTGAAAAAATTGTGTATTACGAGAGGATAAAAAATAATCTTTTTCAAATTTTCAAATTTGGGGAGCGTAAAACTGCGATTTTTTTTATTTCTCTACAATAAGATTCGTATGTATAGAACTTGAAAGTAAAAATAAAATTGGACCTGAAGCGTGGCTATATACCTCTCCATATCATACAAGGCTTGTAAACATATGAGATGAATAGAATTAACCTTTTTTCTGACAATCGTTTGATCTAATTGTTCCGTTATTAAAGAAAGTACAGTGAATTTTATAAGCAAGACCCGTTTAACTTGTAATTCCCGACAAACATTTTTTTAATTAAATCAAAATATATATCTTCTTCCTTTTCGGATCAAAATGGGGAAACATTGCATTTTATTACGTTTTATGTCAATTGGTCTCTGGTAGAGAGTTGTCTCATTGGCACTCATCATACCGTATATATCTTCTTTTTCATATAGACTTATGCATTACCCAAATACGATATATTTTGTTGTTTGTTGCTTACGTTTCTTTCAGTGGGAAATATTTCATGCATATTCAGTACAACCAAACATTAAGAAGTATCAATATTGATGTGCAAAACAGAAATTGCAAGCGAAATAAAAAAAATATCCCCAATATAATCATGATAATCATTCATCGCCGTAAAACGTAAAAAAAATGACGTTACCATTTGAGACGCAATATCGTGCGTAACGTCTGTGTGAAGAGCACTGCAAGCCAAACATCCCAGAACGTTGTGTGAAGAGCACTGCAAGCCAAACATTGCAGAAAGTTGTGTGAAGAGCACTGCAAGCCAAACTTTCTAGAAAGTTGTGCCAAATATGGCTGGGCCATCCACATCTGGGTTTACAAAAACCTTAGTGTTTCGAATGATTCAAAATTTTTATAAACATAAAACTTACAGACAATGACCATATCAACCGATATTGCATGTCAACTAAAAAAACAGACTACTGGACTGGTGATACCTTAGGGGACGAAAAGTCCATCATCATTGGCATCGACCTAATGGTTGTAAAAAATACTCTGATATCAAAGATATGCTTATAATTAGTTACGCGAAACGTCCATTTCGTCTACGTAAGACTCGTCAGTTGCGCTCGAATATAAACCATACATTGCTATATTATTATGTGGATGGTACCATTGGGAACTAACAGTCCAATATCAGCAGTAGGCTTTCAGTTGTAGTAAATTAGGATAAAGATAAGATTATCCCTCAAAATCGAGTTTTCAATATTTTCATTTGATTATTTTAATGTTAGTTGGAAATTTCATTCATCGACTCTGTTTATCATTGAATAAAATCGCAAACTGTAAACTTGTTTTAAAATAGCATATACTGATTATTCAATAAAATTGAGAATAGAAATGGGGAATATGTCAAAGAGACAACCCGACCAAAGACCAGAAAACAGCTCACTTGTAATTTTTTGGTCATATGAATTTAAACATGAAATGAAAATAATAATTGATAAATTTTGTGCGTCCGAAGCGCTTTTGTGGATTAATCATCATCATGAAAACTCATTTTTTTAAACCAAGGATGTATAGATATTTGAATATCTGAGGAGCTACAGAATCAAAAGGAAAATAAAAAGAATAACCAAATTCATCTACGGTCAAATTTTCCCGAGGGAGTTGAAACCTTAGTTTGGCAATAATTTCTTTGTTCATCAGCGGAGCTAAAAGAAAGATGTGTTATAAGTCATGCCTACTGAGTAGATGATGCTTTCGGAACTATCAGTCCGCCACAAGCTGCATTAACCCAGAACTAGAAAATGTGAATAACAATAAATGTGGTGAATTTACCTTATTCATATATACCAGTACCAATAGTCTTGATTGGTTATCTTATTTTAAATTTAATAACTTTATAATTCCGTTGACAAAGGCGGAATTTGAACAGTGCCATTCTGGCGGTTAGTTTACGCTATAACGAACTTTGACCGTTACCGTCTTAGTTTGTCAAATTTTACAGCTCTCATAAATCCACAAGTCTACTGTCGTCAATCTGACCATGAAGTTGCTTACTAACAGTTTGTGATTTTATTTAATGATAAACATGTTTCACGGGCTCCTCGGTTTTAAATGATGTCAACAATACATTAAGATCAAAGTGTATTGTAGAAAGTTATTTTCCCAGGAATTTTACAATGTTATGAAGTTATGTCATGGTATTCGTGTCAACATTGTAGTAATTGATCAATTTGTATATAGAGACAGGTAAATTTTAAATCTGTTTCAGAACTTTTGAACGTTTCACTAAAATTAAACTTAGACTTTATTTAAGAAATCTATTTTTAAAATGATTTCCACTGAAGTTTAATCAACATGGCCGCAGTCTTATTCAATAAACTATATTTTTATAAATATAAAGGCAGTATTCGAATGTTCAGATAATCTTCTTAGCCCAGATTATAAATAATCAAATTATAAAAAAAAAGAAATGTCAACAGAAACTATTCATTATAACTGTTTCTGTATTGATTAAGTTTGCCATGAAATTTAACTTACAAAAGAAATTTCAAGACGCGAAAATGAATAAAACAACTTTTGTAGAATCATTCTGTATAAATATGAACACACAGGTGAGTAACATGTTGGAAGAAGGTTTCTCATCAAAAGGGCACACATGAGTTCATGACATGTTGGAGTAAAGCAAGGGGATAAAGAAATTTATCAAATTGACTCCATTTCAATTAAATTAACATATTTTTTTTTATTTCTAGATTTCTAGAATTTATGTAGAATCATTCTTTCTAAATATGAACGCATATGTGAGTAACATGGTGGAAGAAGGTGTATCATTAAAAAGGGCAGACCTGAGTTCATGACATGTCAGAGTAAAGCAAGGGGATAAAGAAATTTATCAAATTGATTCCATTTCAATTAAATTAACATATTTTTTTTTTATTTCTAGATTGCGCCGTTCACTCCTTCGTGCTCAGTTGTAATTCATTGTATGAACGTGGCAATATGTTGGTCTTTTTATAT